CTTCACCGGCACTGCCGCCCATGAAGGATGAACTGGAACGCCAGTGCGCCGCCATGATGGAGCAGGCATCGTCCGCGGAGCGACTCCCGTTCTCGTCGCCCGTCCTCCTCGTCAAGAAACCGGACGGTCGTGGCGTTCTGCGTCGACTACTGATATACCGAACGCGCGGACGATCAAGGATGCCTTTCCCATCCCGGTGGTCGACGAGCTCCTCGACGAGCTCCACGGGCTCGCTTCTTCACCAAGCCGGACTCAAGGCTTCGAGCTATCACCAAGTCCGCGCGCCCGGAGAGGACATCCACAAGACGGCGTTCCCGCACCCATGACGGCTTGTATGCGAGTTCTGGTCATGGCGTTCGCCTCACGCAACGCCCGGCGACCTTTCAAGCCCCGATGAATGATGTGCTCCGCCCGCCTCCGCCGCTTCGTTCGGTATTTTTTACGATATTTTGATCTGACAAAGACGACGGCGGACCATCTGCGACACCTCCGGACCGTCCTCGATACTCTCCGCCGCCACCGCTTGTTCGTCAAGCGGTCCAAGTGCTCTTCGGGCGCCCAATAATTTGCCTACCTAGGCCACATCATCTCGGCGGTTTGGGGTGGCCATGGACCCGCGAAGGTCCAGCGATCGTCCGATCGCCCACTCCTCGCTTCCCCGGGCGGTCGCGCTTCCTCGGCCTCGCCGGATACTACCGCAAGTTCGTCCCACAATTATGGGACGATTACGGCACCGCCGAACGGACGGCTCTCAAGGAGGGGCTTCGTGGGACGACTCCACACGGTGGCGGCGTTCGCGGCTCTCAAGGTCATTGTGACGACGGCGCCGTGCTTTCGCCATGCCCGACCCGACAAGCTCTTCATCGCCGAGTCGCGACGCCTCTACGTCCGGTTCGGCGCCGTCTTTGGTCCAGAGGCCACCCGTCGCGTTCTTCACCGGCCGGGTGGCGCCCGCCACTCGCGCTCGCCAGCAGACGAGCCTTGAATCGATCGGGTTGGTCCAGCGGTCCGGATCAAGCGGCCGATACCTTTGGGGCGGCTTCATAGTCAAGACAGATCACTATGACCTCAAGTACCTCCTCGACCAGCCGCCTCGCTCACGATCCCACAATCATTGGGTTTGCAAGCTCCTCGGGTTCGATTTCTCGGTGGAGTACCGGTGTGGCGCCACCAACGTCGTCGCTGCCGCTCTCTCTCATGGCCTTGATCGGGAGGACGGGTCACCGCCATCTCCGCTCCTCGTTTGACTTCGTCGACCGCCTCCAGCAAATCACGCCAGAAGCCACGGATCCGGCCTTGGTCGCCATGCACGCCGAGTCTGCGGTCGGGTGCGGTTCTGCTGCAGTGGTGCTGGTGGATGGTATGGTCGCCACGCCGCGCGCTCAGACATCCATGCGCCGCCGCCGCCATCTGCAGGAGATTGTGGCCGCCGTCCACAATGATGACGGTCCACGAGGGATCCACCGCACCTCCATCGGCTCCGACGCGACTTTCATTTTCCCAACATGCGTGCTTTGGTGCGAGGAATTCGTCAAGGCTCACGTCACCGCCAAGATACATAAGGCGACCACTGCAGTACGGCCGCTTCTGCCGCCATCCGCCGGTGCCATCGGCGGTCTGGCCGACCTTGGCATCGACTTCATCGAGGCGCTTCCCAAGGTCCGAGGCAAGACGGTCATCCTCTCCGTGGTGGATCGCTTCAACAAGTATCGCCATTTTATTCCTTTGGCACATCCTTACATCGCCGAAAGTCCGTCGCCAACGCTTTTCGCCGACATCGTCCGCCTTCCACGGGTGCCGCGATCCATCACGTCGGACCGCGACCCGATCTTCACATCGGCGTTACGGCGAGAGCTCATGCGGCTCACCGGACAAAGCTCTACATGTCCTCGGCCTTCCACCCACCACAGACGGACGGCGAGACGGAGGCCGCCAATCGGGTCATCGTCATGTACCTGCGATGTTTCACCGGCGATCGCCCGCCAAATGGATCCGGTAGGCTGCCGTATGAGTACACCTACAACACCGCCTTTCGATGCGTCCTTATGTGAGACTCCATTCCGTGTGGTTTCTGGCGGAGACCCGCCGACCATTCGGTCCCACTGGCGGCGGCTTCGAATTCGCGGCCGTCGCTCAAGAGATGGAGGAGAGGGCCGCCTTCCTGGACAACATTCGTGTCCGTCTGGAGCAGGCCCAGGCGGTCCAGAAGCGCGTCTACGATCAGCATCATCGTCGCGTCGTCTTCACCGTTGGGGACTGGGCGCTGCTGCGTCTCCGGCAGCGTGCTGCTGCGTCCATGCCACGTGCGGTGCATGGCAAGCTGAAGCCGCGCTTCGTTGGTCCGTATAAGGTCACCGAGGTCATCAATGAGGCGGCCGTGCGCCTGGAGCTACCCCCGGATGCCCGTCTCCACGATGTGTTCCACGTGGGCGTCCTCAAGAAGTTTGTGGGGTCACCGCCAGCTGCTCCACCGGCGTTGCCGCCCCTCTCCAACGGTGCCGTCGTGCCTGCGCCATCGCGGGTGACACAGGGCCGCCTGGCTCGTGGAGTTCGCCAAGTCCTCGTCGAATGGGAGGGTCACGACCCCGCTGCAGCCTCCTAGGAAGACCTCGGCGATTTCCGCTTTTCGGTTTCGCCGTTTATTTCGAGGACGAGCCGGACTTGAGGCGGGAGAGATGTCATGTCTTGGGCGGGTGTACGCCCGGCCAAGAACGCCGCCGCACGACATACGCAGAGGCGCCGAAGCGGCTGGCGCGTCAGCGCGAGCAGCGCCAGATGAGGAGGCCGATCGAGCACGCGTCGTGGCTAGGAGGCCTCGGTTGGAAAGTTATCGAGATTAGTTCCCTTATTATTATTAGCATCTATTTGTTACCTTAAGATTAGGAGTTTGTTTTCCTTTTGTTGGCGTACTGCAAGGCTATATATATTATGGTAACCTGGACTTGAAGAAATTAAGCAAGATTGTTATCCTATCTTCCATCTAATCTCAAGCTCATGGTGAGGGCATAACCTCACCGGAGAAGACGGTAGAAAGGCTCTGAGCTCATGATGAGGGGCCTCATGGCGTCGAGGGTTCGACGCCCTTGACATACTTACTGATTACTGATGGATGCATGGTATGCACCAACATATGAGAAAGAGCAGGATCATATTATGGTAAATGACACAAAATATTTGCCAAGTAGTACAGATATCAGTCAAATCACATTGCTTGGAAAGGGTTAAACCAATCAACCATTCCCCGATGTGTTTCAGTAGACAACCAATGTTTCAACTTCTAAACCGTTGAGTAACCTTACATCGAAATCCTTGTCATGATCACTTTATTAGACATTTGAAGGCAAATAAAATCAATTTGTAACATATGCAGAACGAAGTCAGCATGATAGGTCATTGCTATAGATCCAAGTCGAAGGATTAGCAAAATGATGGGATGCAAACAGAGAGAGAGAGAGAGAGAGAGTTTGAAATTAGCTTTCCAAATTCTGGGATGGTGCTAGGAAGAAAAAATTGTAGGCTACATTAACAAAATTGATTCACGAAGTAGTGAATTGAAAAAAAAAAAACACAAACGTGATAGCAACCATGTAAACAAATTCACAAAAATATGTCAATCAAGAACCTTAATTCTAATTTCTAAAATGTAAATAATCCAACACACTTTTCAGAGTGACTATTCACATAACAAAATAGGCGAGAATGATGCAAAGTTCACATAATAATATGAAAACTGACTAGAACAGAACTAGTCTGGTGATATGCAAACAAAGATTTGATGCTTGTTCTCCCTCCAACAACCAAAAACAGAAGTTAAAAGAATGTCTTTATGCAGAATATAGAGATATAGAATACAGAAATGGTTTCATCCAAGCTACGTACCAAATATAACAAGAGCACAAGACTTTGATATCAAATGTAGTTTTCAAACAGGCAATGTTTTTCAACACTATCCAAGTAAGAATGTAAGAGTTTGAGTTCAATATCAGAACCTAAACCAAGTACTCACTCTGTTCCAAATTGTAGTTCACTTTGGTTTTATTCTAAGTCAAACTTCTTTAACTTTGACCAAGTTTATAGAAAAAATCACCAACACCTAGTCACCTAGACATCAAATTCGTTTCATCAGATTCTTCATGCAAATATATTTTGATATAGAATTTACTTGATCTTGTAGATATCAATATGTTTTTCTAAAAAACGTGGTCCGAGGTTTGATTTAGGACAAAGCCAAAGTGAACTATAATTAGAAACTGGGGGAGTAATATACCAAAATATCCTAGGTTCTAGCTCAAATCCAGATTTAATACAGATTGAAAAATACTTGAAGATAGCTGCACCATGTCTAATTAGGAAATTTGATTGGTGTATCCTTTGCATTATCATTTATCAACAAAAATAGATACAATCACATGTAGAACTTAACCCATAAAATTCAAAAAAAAAAACTGATGTACGTGCAAGATGTCCTTTTGTTCATGTTATAGGATTTAGAGAGGGACCCACCTATATCTTCTAGAAATAGCCCTAACTCAAATGTCATATATACTACAAACTTTTGCAAGGTCCAATTGCTTTGCTCATAGGCCATGAAGATAGGTGATCTCGGAGATAAAAATAAAATTACTTAAGTAATAGACAGATTTAATATGAGCATGTGATCCTGTGCCTTCACTTAGCAGTGTCTAAAACATAAGATTAATACGAGGGATAGTTCAATTTGAATTCAGAAAAGAATCTTGAACTAGATGAGTACTATTCCTTAGTTACTAGTCCATATACATCAGATGAATGAATATGCTCCAAATCTTCTTTAGGCAATGGATGCAATTTGGTATAACTGCTATCCAATCAGATTGAATTCCAAAATCACACCCATAAAATGAGCACACGACTAACGACCATTGAAATGCAGATAAAGCATCCAACCATCAGTTTCAGAATATACTGCCACCTTACTAGTTACTACTACACTAGAAACTAAGAGGATGAGACAGATAATATCAGCCAGAACTGCAAGATCAATTTGACTATTACCAAACGAAATATACTATACACTATGCAAATACTCTAGGCCAAACTGCAGATGTCCACAAGAGGAACCACATGCGCTTGTGTGCACATATTGAGCCAATAAAGTGCAGAACACTATAAAAAGGCGAACAAGTTGACTAAATACTTGAGACCTATGAAATAATGTGTACAATTGTAGGAAACAATTGGTTAACATACCTTACTGTTGAGCCAGAGCGCCACTTAAGCTGGTTAAGGTGCAATTTATTTTTGTGCCAACGTCCCAAAATCACAATCCCAACTAGTGCAGCTGCAACCACCACAGACCAGATAGCATTTGTTTCTTTTGCTTGGTTATACAGGCATGTCATATGCTTCTTCAACCAACATTTGCATGAGGCACCAGTATCACAGCTCTTGCTGTCTGCGGGCTCTGAAGGGTGGCCTGATTTTTCATCAAAATCTTCACCAGACTCATTGCCATCATCATGGGAAACAAAACCATGTGCATCATCTTCAGCGTGAGATGAACCGTACCCAGGCGTGTCATCTCTCATCTCCACATCATCATCTGAGAGGTGTTTCCCTTCATCATCGAACTGAACTCTCTCAGACCCAACATCATTCTTGACACTATAATCCTCCACACTGGTACTAGGCTTCTGCACATCCTTCTCAGGCTGTATCTCATCAAAACTGGTTTGTATTGGCAGGTTCTCGTGCTCACTCGGCGGAAACACAAAGTGGTCAGGCCTGGGCAGTTCATTGGATGAACTACACTCTTGATCTTCATTAACAGGCTTTACTTCCATTCCGACAGGCCCTGGCGCCGCTTCATACGCAGATGCTGTGAGAGTCACAACTTCCCAGTCCGCCCCTCGGGGGGTGGTTCCCTCCCCCACCTCTTTCTCATTATCAGCCATATCCACGAATCTGATCTGCCATTTTCCAAGAAACAATTTCAGCAACCAAGGTAACCGCAAAATGATGCTATCACATACACATCAGGCAAACAGCACTTGATTACCTAGCAAGGTCCAGCACAAAAGAATTGCCAGTAGGAAACAGAAAACGGGGATTCATACAGTGATTCAACAAGGGGTAAACACTGAAGACGGAGCAATATTCACACTTCTGAACCAAACTGAGATGATCAAATTACCAGTACACCACAACTGCCAGATAATCATACACCAATGACCCATCGACTCGCTGTCAACGATCAAATTCTAGCCAGAGAAGGTCTCAAAAGCGGGGACAATCTAATCTAAGCAACACAATTGACGAGACACTCAGGCGGACCCAGTAAGGGGCATGGATGTACACATGTACACCCAATTTTTCAAAAAAAAAAACGAAAAAAAGTTTGTGTGCATAATACATGTATACTATTACTACACTTGTAACTGGATCAGATCAGATCCGAACGCATATAGCTTGGGTTTGGGTGCTCCGTTTCGCACAGCAGGAACGGAAGAGAAGGGGTGGGCGCACCTGGTGGGTGCACGTCGCCGGCGAAGGTCTGGGTACCTGGCGCAGGGCGGCGGAGGCGGCGCCACCAGAGACAGAGCGCACGCGAGGGACCCGGGAGAACCGAGAGAGAGATAAGACAGAGAGCAGGAAAGAGCATGCCGCGGGGAACCGGAGAACAAGAGGGAGGGGCGCAGGGTGAAGATTACGGTTACGCCCACTTGCCCACTAATCTACTCTATCCTCTGGATCTATCTGAACTACCTCCACTGTTACGAAAGGTTGATTTGCTAACCGAATTTTTATGTACTTTCTTTAATAAAATAAATCATCTAATTTGCCTTTCTGAACTGTTTTCAAAGCGTTTTGGCCAACGTGAACTTCCGCATAACTAATACAAAAGTTCAATTTGCTTCTTTTAATTGAAAACTCGAATTTTTGGTGGTGCAAGAGAAGTACATTTGAGTGGTTTTGAAAGCGTTTTGGCGACGCATCACTTAGTTGTCCTATGTGACATCACGTCAGTAATTTAAATCATACTTTTTTATAGTAAAAACTGATTTATTTTTAGAAGAAATTTTAAACTCCAGAAAAATATGAAACTAATTTTATTTTATTTTTTTCAAAAGTCATGCTCTGACTTTACCTTGCTTATAATTATTTGAGTCTTATATGGTATCACAAACATAAACTAGGCCAATATAAAGCAGAAGATGTAGGCTGAGACAAACCCTTGCAAAACCACAGCGTGAACACCACGCAACCCGTCCTGCAACGTCTCGCTTAACCATCAAGACGTGCAAGGAAAATTCCAAATAGAAAATATAATTCAAATTTTGATTGCCTATTAATAACATGTGACATGTAGTTTAAGTTTAGAGTAGCATTGTCTTCTCAAGGGTGTTAGAAATATAATTTAAATTTTGATTACATATTAATAACATGTACTGACCTCGTCTACGAGCGGCTACATCGGCCTCAGCTCCTACGACATCGGCTACCTCGATATCCACAACTATGCAGAGACTGTGTGTAACACCTCTGGTGTTATGATCTTATTTAGTATTATGATTTAGGTCTAAGTAAAATTTTCAAAACGGGTTTCTCGGATTTTTATTTTAAAACGCATTTTGAGGCGATAAGCGAATACTGTGTGACTCAGTTTAGTGGACTGACATAAACGTCCAGGTGAAATTATTCAGCGCGTAGAGATATTTAGGAATGTCGGACAACAATTCTAGCCGATAGATAGAGAACGGTTTGTTCTATTAGATTAAGTATGGAAAGCGACTTTTATAAATAAAATAAAATTCATTAATAAATAGAACGATATATATACCCACGGGTTTATTTTGGTAAGCACGAACTGACGAGAGAGAGCGCAGCAGCTTCGTTTATTTTTTCTGGCGTACAGTGTACTCGTTGCATGGCAATTATTCACCATCTCATTCTCGTCGTGGCTCTGCATTTTTCTGCATTACAAAGCCTCCTATCCAATCGCATCTGAACTGGTCCACTACGCTGGGCGTCTGAAATTGGTGCACGTGGTTCTGCTCCTGCCCACGCCGTGTTCTCTCTCTCGTCAGCAACCGTCCCGAGTAACCACTTGTCTCCGTTGTTCATCAAACTAATAACCTTATCGTGCTACCTCTCTTTGCATGCCTCGGCTTGTCTCCATCTGCTCGGCCTTGTCCCGCTACCGTCCCTTCTCTCTTGCGTCCTTTTCTCTCTGAGAGTGCCTTAATGAGAGTTGGTCGGACCGCTGCAGTTCTTTGCCGCTTTCGGCTCGCTCTGTTCCACCTCTCGCTCCTCGTGTTCACAACCGCAGCGCCGCCATCACCTTGCGAATGCCAGTGTCCCGATTCGCACTTTCCTCCTCGTGGCCTTCGGGTTGCCGTGCCCGCCGGGGACTCGCGCCGCTCCACCGTAGAGCTCCACGACCGCTTTGGTACGGCTGCTCCATGTCGCTGTTCCTCCCAGGCGCCTGCTCCGCCGTCGTCCGTGCCGCGGCCGTGCTGGCGCTCCGCAGTCGCCGCACCTCCCGCTCGCTCTGGAGCACTACCGCGGTGACCCCGCAACCGTCGTATCTCCCCTTTCCCCTCTTGCGTGCGTGCCCCACGGTCTCCGCGCTGGACTGGCGGCTCCACAGTGCTCCTCCTCGCCTCCGTGGCTTTCACGCCGCAGTCGCCACGCCTCACCCCGCCAAGGCTTGGCTGGTCCTCATGAAAGGAAGCGCTTGCCACGCCACAGCCAAGACTGACTTTCCCAGCTTCTGCCACGCCTCTTCGTTGCCCCTCCTGTGAGCCCGCACCATCGCAGTGGCCGCACCCGGCGATGCCCCAGCGCCACCCCTTCCGCGCTATTTCTCTCCCCGCGACGCCCCTCAGTGCACTAGGCCACCGTGTGCGTCCGTGCCTAGCCGTGCTTCTAGGATAGCGCCACTGTTCCCTGTTGTCTCGCGCGTGCACCCATGCTGTCGTGCCGCCATCGCCTGCTGCCCGGGTGAAAGGTCCTAATGACTAGAGGGGGGTGAATAGCCTAATAAAATTTCTACAACAACACTTAATCAAGATGGTTAGACAATTATGAGGCGAAGCAAGTGTCGCGCTAGCCTACTTCAAATGCAAGCCGCCTACCACAATTCTAGTTTAGATAGTATCTAATCACACAATAGATATAACACTACTCTATGTTAGTGTGCTCTCAATGGCTAACTAAAGAGCCACACCAACCAAGCAAACAAGCTCTCACAACTAGCTACACTAAAGAGCTTGACAACTAGTTTGCGGTAAGATAAGGAGTAGGCAAGAAGGTTATACCGCCGTGTAGATGTATGAACCAATCAATCACAAGTGTGGATAACAATGAAGACCAATCACCTCGGAATCAATATGATGAACACAATGATTTTTACCGAGGTTCACTTGCTTGCCGGCAAGCTAGTCCTCGTTGTGGCGATTCACTCACTTGGAGGTTCACGCGCTAATTGGCCTCACACGCCAAACCCTCAATAGGGTGCCGCACAACCAACACAAGATGAGGATCACACAAGCCACAAGCAATCCACTAGAGTATCTTTTGGCGCTTCGCCGGGGAAAGGTCAAGAACCCCTCACAATCACCACGATCGGAGCCGGAGACAATCATCACCCTCCGCTCGACGATCCTCGCTGCTCTAAGCCATCTAGGTGGCGGCAACCACCAAGAGTAACAAGCTAAATCCGCAGCGAAACACGAACACCAAGTGCCTCTAGATGCAGTTACTCAAGCAATGCACTTGGATCACTCTCAATCTCACTATGATACTGAATCAATGATGGAGATGAGTGTGAGGGCTTTGGCTAAGCTCACAAGGTTGCTATGTCAATGAAAATAGCCAAGAGAGTGAGCTTGAGTCGGCCATGGAGCTTAAATAGAAGCCCCCATGAAATAGAGCCATTGTACCCCTTCACTGGATAAAACGTGGGGTGACCGGACGCTCCGGTCAGTTGACCGGACGCTGAGCCCCCAGCGTCCGGTTGCTCGCTGTTAGCCACGTGTACCGATTTCAACGGTCATCTGCCTTGACCGGACACTGCGCTGAAGTTGACCGGACGCTGAACCCCCAGCGTCCGGTCGTTTACAGTAAGGTTCCAAAACCAACTTTTGCCGACCGGACGTGTCCGGTCATGCTTGACCGGACCCTAATAGCGTCCGGTCGCTAGGTATCTGCCTGCTGCTCAGCCCGACAACAGCACCGGACGCAACCACCAGCGTCCGGTCGCTGAACGACCAGCGTCCGGTCACTTCCAGTGACCTCCGTCTTTTCTGTCTAGAGCGCCGATGACACCGTCGGACTGTCCGCACTTTACGGGCGGACACTCCGCCGGTGGAGTTTCTTACCCTTGCACTTAAACTTCACCACCTTTGATCAAATGTGCCAACCACCAAGTGTATCACCTTGTGCACATGTGTTAGCATATTTTCACAAATATTTTCAATGGTGTTAGTTCTCCACTAGATCTTAAATGCATATGCAATGAGTTAGAGCATCTAGTGGCACTTTGATAAACCGCATTCCGATACGAGTTTCACCCCTCTTCATAGTACGGCTGTCGATCCTAAATGTGATCACACTCACTAAGTGTCTTGATCACCAAAACAAAATGGCTCCTATAATTTATACCTTTGCCTTGAGCCTTTTGTTTTTCTCTTTCTTCTTTCCAAGTCCGAGCACTTGATCATCACCATGGCATTACCATCATCAAGTTATGATCTTCATTTGCTTCACCACTTAGAGTGTGCTACCTATATCATGATCACTTGATAAACTAGGTAAGCACTTAGGGTTTCATCAATTCACCAAAACCAAACTAGAGTTTTCAATCTCCCCCTTTTTAGTAATTGATGACAACCCATATACAAAGATATGAAATAAGATTCAATTGAATCCATGTTGCTTGTCCAAGCATGTT